TGGTGCTGGCCAAGAAGTGCCAGACCCTAGTCAGTGACGTGGATTATAAGAACTACCTGCACCAGTGGACCTGCCTGCCCGACCAGAGTGACGTCGTCCATGCTCGGCAGGCCTATGACCTCCAGAGTGACGTGAGTACCTGAGGATTATAATGACAGCAAAGATGGGAAATCAATGAATTAATACCCCTTGAGAAGGTAGCAATAAGTGGCACCAAACCCACCAGCCTCTGCAAGGGGGGAATAGCATTTCTTCTTTCCTTGTGAGTGTTAATCCTTTAACCCTACAGACCAAAAAGGAATATTGTCTGATATCCTGCCTGTCCACCAAACTATATTTTAAGAGAGCTTTTGCTTTATTTCATTTCCTTCAGATGAAAATGTTTTCCCAGTGCAGGGATAAATATGTATTGACGATTTGTCTCAACAGAATATGTACAAGTCAGATCTCCAGTGGCTGAGAGGCGTCGGCTGGGTTCCCATTGGCTCTTTGGATGTGGAAAAATGCAAAAGGGCAACTGAAATTTTGAGTGATAAAATCTATCGCCAGCCTCCAGACAGATTTAAATTTACCAGTGTGACTGATTCTCTGGAACAGGTGTTGGCTAAGAATAATGCCATCAACATGAACAAGGTGAGGCTTTGAAATTCAGAGAGCCAAGGTAGGCCTCCTAAAGCTGAATCAAAGAAAAAGAAGCGTAATTGAGAAAAGAAAGAAGGAGAGCATTGAGCAACAAAAGACATCTGTCTGTCTACCAATCATCTGTCTGTCTGTCTATCTATCTATCTATCTATCTATGTCAATTATATTTTAATATTTACTTCAGTAGTTTCATGGTTTTGGTAAAAATGTGTATTTTTGTGGAAGAATCATCTTTGCATAAAAGATATTCTTAATTTCCTTTTAATTGTTAACATACGCCTCAGATGCTCAGAAGGCACTTATCAATATCTGTTCTACTATGAACTGATTATTTTACTTGAAGATGTGTATAAAATACATAATATGTACAAAATGCATAAGCTTTTGTTATTTTACTTATAAAGTTTTTGTGGCCCTGAAATTTCTATTAATTACTCAATGAATTTTTTCCTGATGCCGTTGTATATTTTCTTTGATAGCGTTTGTACACGGAAGCCTGGGACAAAGACAAGATCCAGATCCACATCATGCCAGACACACCAGAAATTACATTGGCAAGAATGAACCAGATCAACTACAGTGAGGTGGGAGCAGATGCTAATTCTATGACATTTGCACGCTGTTTCTTATTTCAATTAATCTATTCCACAGTGATACAATAGTAAACAACAACTTTATAAAGAATCTCTTTTCTTGCTTCATGTGAATACTGACTCCTACATTTCTTAATCACCATTCTAAACATCAAACTTTGAGAAATACAAATTATCATTTAGGAAGGGCAAGTTGTAAGAACTAATGATTTAAGCAGTAACCATAAGATTATCAGACCTTTTTCTTTTATTAATTTTTTGAGTTAGGAACTTAGCAGTGCATCGAATATACATGTATCTCCTCCTTATGCTATATAGCTATGCTAAATATATTTTCCATGTGTGATTCATTTTTCCTAAACTGTAATTTAGGATCAAATTTCAACATTTTTAATGTATAAGATTAAAGTCAAGGATTAGAATCACAGTACTATCAATGCTGAGAGAGACGGAGAAAGAAAGAGAATCTGTCAGTGGATATATTAGCAAGCCCATTTCCTTCTCACTCTCTGTCAGCATAGAACCATGTGTTCCCATTTTGGAACCACAGGTGTTTAGGCTGAGAGATCAGCCTCTCTTCTAGTACTGGAGTCCCTACCCAACACATTGTCATCTTGCCTTTGCTTAAGTGTTCTCAGTGACAAGGAGCTTATCTCAAAAATCAACCCATTTGTTCTGGAAAATTCCATTAGTAGGTGCTTCTGATGTATTGAGTCACAACCTTTCTCTCTGCAGAGCCACATAGTCCTCTGAGGCTGTGTAGAACCAATCTGTGCCACCTCCACAGAGTTGGAGATAGCTACCACGGTGTCTACCCTCCCACCTCACCTCGGGGCGTCTTTCTAATTCAAGCATCCTAAGTTCCTAGGCATTCCTCACATGACATCCTTGCTAGAATGTGGCTCTCAGAACTGAAAGAAATCCTTCGAGTAAGGAGTGACCAGAGTAGAGCACAGTTGAATGTCATAGTTCCTCTTCGGGATATTTGACCTCCATTGTGCACCCTGGGCCTCAGGGTGGCAGCTCTGTCACTGCTGGTACACATGGAACTTGGGATCGACTGAAACCCTAAGAGCTTTTTCTTAGGCTTAAGCTAGATTTCCTCTATCCTGCATTTATATATTTGCAATTTAAATCTCAGTTCAAAGATTGACATTTATCTCTCTGCAATTTCTTCTTCTCAAATTGAGCCTATTGGTTTAAGACTGTGGAGATTTTTGTGAATCTAAGAGTCTCTCAGCTGATGTATTAGTTATTTCCCCCAGCTTTGTGCTATCAGCAAGGAAAATATTGTTTTTTTGACAGCATGAATCAACAGTACATTACTCTTCTGCAGAATATAACTTAGAAATTTTAGATAGATAAGCCACCATCTTAAGTCATTTTACTTTTGGGGTGCAGACTATAATTTAGTGATTGTATAACTAGCTCTTAATTGTCATCCAAACCTAAAAACATCAAGTGCTACTCTCAGACAGAAGAGGAGAGAATTTTACCCTAAACCTGTAATAGAGGTACCGCATTGTTATAGGAAAGCATGTATTGTACGTGTAGGAATCAAGAGACACAGAGCCCCTGTAACCAGCCACTCAGGCTTTCTGGAATTCTCAACTCTCTATCTTTGCTACAAAAGCTCAGAGATCCTAAGGTGTTGCTGTTGATTTGAAGGGGCACTAGGAGATGGCGCTGAACTGAGTGCCTAACCTGGCTGGTCTGCTTTCTCGGTTTTTCTCTAGCAGCTGAGTTCAATTCTATTTTGCTTCCTTCTCATCTAGGAGAGGAAGATAAAATGCAAATTTGATTATGTCACTCTTCCTCAAAGATTTTTGTTGTTCCTATTTGCTGTAGAATTAAACGCAAACTCTTATCTTAGCATCAAGATTCTTTTCAGTCCTCTCCTGCCACTTCTCCCTGAGCCCACACCCCCCTTCCTTCAGCACCTCTGCACTTTCACTCCCCTGTGCCTTGATTCATGCAACTCCCTCTGCCCTCCACTGTGACCTCAGTCTATTGAAACCACACTCATCACTCAGGGTCAAAGCAAAGGTCACTCCCTCTGCAGGAACTTTCCTGATTCTCAATTCAGAATAAATTACTCCTTCCTGGGGTTCTTTGTTAATAATATGGTTAAACCAGCTCTCGTGGTTTGACTTTTCAGCAGCTTGTTCCATAGGTTGTCAGTCTTTCCATCAGTTCTTCCAGAAATCTTGAGGACGGGAGAGGTCTCCTACTCTTTTTTTTTTTTTTTTTTTTAATTTTCATTTTATTTTATTTTTATTTTTCCCCCCAAAGCCCCAGTAGATAGTTGTATGTCATAGCTGCACATCTTTCTAGTTGCTGTATGTGGGACGCGGCCTCAGCATGGCCGGAGAAGCAGTGCGTCAGTGAGCACCCGGGATCCGAACCCCGGGCCGCCAGTAGCAGAGCGCACACACTTAACCGCTACGCCACGGGCCGGCCCCTCCTACTCATCTTTGATTCTCAAGTACCCAGCACAGTCATGATACAGAGTCAGTGCAGAATAAGTTTGGATTGAATTAATTTCCGTGATCAACAATTTATCAAGTCTTTTTCTCTGATTCACATTTTACCACCTTAGGCCCATGAGTTTCAGAGTAATTTTTCCAGTTCTTTTCCAAACGAATTCATTGTTGCAACTACAATTTTTTAAATGATATATAATATCTGTATATAGTTAATTCAACATAAGCTTTAAAATAAAAAAAAAGGTGTAATGTTTTCTATAGATATCATTTATATGTCTTAACTTCAGCAAAAAAATGCGGAAGGCTTAGAACTCTCAAAAGTGAGATTATTATAGGCACCTACTGTGTAGAACTTAGTGAATTATTTCTGTCTCCTATCAGTTTTTAGATATGAATGTCAACTCTAGCTGATTGTTTTTTTGCCCAAATGTAGAATCTGTATAAACTTGCAAACGAAGAAGCAAAGAAGAAAGGCTATGACCTGCGAAGCGATGCCATCCCCATCGTGGCCGCCAAGGCCTCCAGGGACATCGTCAGTGACGTGAGTTGTCAATTTTATTTCTTGTCTGTGATCAGTCTGAAGTGGCATTTTCCCTGAACTAAATCTTTAAAAAGAACTTTCCTGGACCTTTGAAAATATATCCTGATGTATTTTGTGTGAGATTTTTCAAAAACCTAGCTTCGAGGGAAATGAAAAATTGGATGTTTATAAAAGGGGTTTGTAACCTTGAGGACACAGTATCTTCAGTGAAAACGGGTCCACCAAGAATAGAGAAAGATCCGTTCATGTGGAAATTGTTAGCGTGCAGCTGCAGGCTTGGAGATGCTTGTATAAAAATGATCACGGTGCTTACAGAAAGTGTACCTAACAAACTTAAGTTCTCCCCGTGAGAATCAGGGCCTTCCTTTATGCAGCACTTTAACACACAGTATTCAAAAAATGCATATGACACTTTGTAATTCACCCTGGGGGCATTGCAACCAAGGGGCATGGCAATTCACCCTTGTAACATTATGAAAAGAAGGCAATTGATCAGTACCAGAAGTGGCTACTAGCCCAAGGTTGCACCCTTAATAATAGCCCCTGGCTGTGTAGCTCCTACTTCCCAGAATAAAACCATCATCCTGTCTTGGTGCCTCAGGGGATTCTTGAGGAACAGATCACTGGTCTAAAACTCGAGGCCCACTATTCGGGTATATGGTAATATGCTGTCTTTTATATAGGAAAAATCATGTTAGTGACTCACTTTAGTTTATGTATTTTGGAAATTCTCCACAAATGGATTTATGCCAATAATAATAAACAATGAAATAATAACAACCAAGAAGTATTGAGAACTCTGTGCTAAGAGCTTTACATGCATTATCTTACTTACTCTTCATAATTATCCCAAGATGTAAATATTGTCGTCATTGCTGTTTTGTGGATTGCTTAAGCAACCTGCCTAAAATCAAACTCTTAGTGGGTGGTGGAGTTGAAACTCCAAACAACCTCATTCCTTTCCACTGTACCCCTGCCTCCTGCTGACTCATCTATACTTTCTCACTCAGCTATCTTTGAGACTAGAAGTGAGTATTTTGGATAATTGCCTCAGATTCCAGGACGAAGTCCTTGGACGTGGAATAATAAAAACATTCTTGGCCCGTGGGGGACTAGAACCCATGACTTTATTAGGAGCATGCTCTAACCAGTTGGGCTGCTTATCAGCTTCATTAGTATAACCAGGTTTCGAAATGATGCCAAAAATTTGCTGCCATCACTGTATGCCTGAATCTATTACGAAATAATAAATTCTCTGTTGCTACTGCAGGTAGCCCTTGACCCGAGTATTTCATCCTTGCAGGAATCAGACACTCATTTTACATTTATATATTTCATTTAAATGTACCACGTTACCAAGTGCATCTCTTTCCTGACATACTTTTACGGAATAAGCTCCATTTCTCTAAGTTCCCTGGTTCAAACGGCCTCTGACCCACATCCACAGGTGGCCTTTCCCCATTGTGTGCACTTCCTGCCTCCAGAAGTATTCCTTATTACCAGGCCATAGGTGATTTGGAGTATACACTACAGTTATATGGATTCCATCTATTTTTACTACCTCTATAAGCTTCTAGGATAAAAGTCAGGACACCGGCTTGAGCTAGTGCTTAAGCAAAAGTCAACTTACAACTGTGATGTAAGCAAGATGATTTTGTACAGACTTGCGGCTTCTAAGGGCTTACAGTAAAGACCTGATTTGTGTGTTTTCATCTTAGTACAAATACAAAGATGGTTACCGCAGGCAGCTTGGCCATCACATTGGTGCCCGGGACATTAAGGATGATCCCAAGATGATGTGGTCCATGCATGTGGCCAAGATTCAGAGTGACAGGGAGTACAAGAAGGACTTTGAGAAGTGGAAGACCAAGTTCAGCAGCCCCGTGGACATGCTGGGGGTGGTGCTGGCCAAGAAGTGCCAGACCCTAGTCAGTGACGTGGATTATAAGAACTACCTGCACCAGTGGACCTGCCTGCCCGACCAGAGTGATGTCGTCCATGCTCGACTTGCCTATGACCTCCAGAGCGATGTGAGTACAGCATTTATAAGAGCTGTCTGCAGAAATAACTCAAACTATATAATAATTATCCTTTATATACACTCCATTGGCCTACTCAAGCTAGGATTTATTGGTCAGTGAATGAGATTTGGAGCAAGAGTATAGTTTTATTGCTTTATTGTGAATACATTAATAGGCTTTATAACGAAGTTAGGTTTACAAACAGGACTTAGTCTTGTAAAAAAAAACTGGTATTAAGCAATGTTAGAATTCAGGATCCACCAGAGGGAGACATTTTCTTTTATTTTTTTTTTAAGGAGGAAGAAACATCACATTTTTATTAAAAAAAAATTACTCCGAAATTTGCTTTTAGGTTCCTTGCAAAACAAATGAGGCAATAATTGGTAGAATACTGATGCCTGCTACAGTGCTAAATGTTATTCCTATGAAATAAAAGAAGTCACTGTGTCTGTGAAATGACTGGATCCTTTCCCTGACACTTCCTCCTCTTGGCACGGCTCTCTTTTCAGAGGGGTCACATGGTAATGACAGAGCCCAGTTCCTATTAGAAGCAGATGCACCATCTCAAATCTGGGTGTGAGAAGCACATTTCCTGCAGCATATATTTATAAATGTTTGAAGGAATTATTAAGCATGAGAGGACTTTGGAGAATAAAACGAATTAATAATAGTTATACATTAATTGGCTGTTTCTAGAAACTGTACAGCCCACCTGTGAAAACTCCCACATCTGTTCTGTAGCTTTCAACATACAGAACCCTGTGTTTTGCAATTCTCTCCAAAAAAGAAACGCTTTGCCTGCACATGAAAGGTAGTTAAAAATGGTTAATCTCACCCATCAAGTGACAGCATTGACAGACTTCTCGTATCCATCTATTTGTTGAGTGCCTTTTCGAGATCTCGCTGTGACACTCCCTCACACTGTGACATGGTCTTAATGAGATAAGAAGCGTTTAAAAGTAAAAAAGTACTCCAGAGGTATAAAATGTTATTGTTTTCATTCTTGCTGTTGTTATTCAGGGGGCAATAACTAATCAGCATAGGGCAATTCCAATAGGCTTTTTGTCTAGACTGCAAAATATCAGCCTATATTTTCTACTTAGTTGCTGTTACTGGTGAAACCCTTCCAGTGAGCTGAGCAAAGGTCCAATTCCATTGTCGTAAAGTAGTTATGAATGTTTAATGGGTACACAAAAATCTTTAGCAGAAAAAAATGATTTAAAATAAAGTGAGAAATAAAGATATGGGAAGAAAATTCTGGAAAGGATTCCATGCTTTCTGTCCTGAGAACTTGGTGCGGAAGAGACTGGGGCCCTGGACCAATGAAATTTATTGCCCTGAAGCTTGGACAGTGTTAAAACCGTCACAGGTCTGCCTCAGGGCTTCAGGGGTTCTACTTCATTATTATATTTTAACTTCTCTCTCTCTCTCTTTTTTCTTAAAAAGAGCATTACAGCTAGTTTGAAATATAAGAAAAAAACCGAGAAAGCAGTAATAATCCAATCACTGAAAAAGTGCACTCCTGTTTGTATAACTTATCCACACACATTGTTTTATGTGCTATTTTTTTCATTTAATAATATATTAATGACATTTCTACATGTCATCAATATTCTTAAAAATATGGCTTTTAGTAGCTTCAGAGTATTTCATTTGACCAGACCTAACATTTATTTGCTGATAGCTTGTTCTTGGACGTATATGTGGTTTCTCTCACTCTGACTTGGCATTCTTTTCCTGTGCCCAAGGACATGCTAACAACATTCACTGAACTGACTGACAGAAGATATTAGTTTGGATCAGTCCTCTCCTAACAACCTGAAATATTTGGTGACTTTTTGTTATGGCCAGCAGACTTTTCTGGGTCATTTTAGAACATAGATCCTCTTTTAGTCTGCCTAATACTTGTTTTCAATGAAAAAAAAAAATCCAACAACCAGAATTGTACTTTATTATTGATTTCGTTTGTGTCTTTACCCTAAATCCTTTGGTCTTGGTGAAGAGTTCCTGCCTTTTTCCTCTTCACAGAATATTTACAAGTCTGATCTCCAGTGGCTGAAAGGCATTGGCTGGGTCCCCATTGGGTCTCTGGATGTGGTCAAGTGCAAGAGAGCTGCAGAGATACTGAGTGACAACCTCTACCGCCAGCCTCCGGACAAGCTGAAGTTCACCAGTGTGCCCGATTCCCTGGAACAGGTGCTGGCTAAGAACAACGCCATCAACATGAACAAGGTGAGCCCCAGCTGCCCCAAGCTTCATGAAGATGTGAAAAGGTGCTATTATACTTTAATGACTAGTGGAGTTAAAACTATCCAGGAAGGTGTAGGGTCACATTTACCTCTTAAATTGCATACTTGAAATCCTCTAAGTCATTTCTATCATTCCCAGTTTTAACCTTGATAATGAGCGTTAAGACTCAAACCTCCAATTGAATACCTTATATCCAAGTCTAGTTTATTTTTCCTAATGAAAGCAATAATAATCCTACTTTAATTTGACTTTTTGTAATTTCTATTTCAAATGGTTTTCTACCAACATCTTCTTTGATAGCGCTTATACACAGAGGCCTGGGACAAAGACAAGACTCAAGTTCATATCATGCCTGATACCCCGGAGATCATGTTGGCAAGGCAGAACAAAATCAACTACAGTGAGGTAGGGGCAAAATTCTGTGGTGCTACATTTTTGTTGTTGTTGTTGTTATTGTTTGTTTTTCTACACTTACTTTTATGGAGATTCTTGGGCCTCAGTGGTGCATGGGGCTTCATGATATGAACACTCAGCCCATTCAACCTTTCATCTCTATGTTGAATATTATATTCTATAGGATTCCACAGGCAAACTGAAGTCACATTATCTTTTCAGTTTATGACCATTGCTTATGTGGGTCACTGGGACTGAGTAGTATTTTTGACATTTCCAAGGGGTAGGTAGGATTGGCAGATAAAATACTGGCTCATTATTTATACTAAAACATTATTTGTTGTTTATCTGAAATTCAAGTTCAACTGGGCATGCTATATTTTTATGTGCTAAATCTGGCAACCCTATCAAAGGGGCCTCTAATAATATGCACCTCTTTCCCACCTGGATCCTGAATAAAATTGAGAAGTAAAACAAAGGAGTAGAAATGGAAGTCAAAATCTCACATTTTTTACTATTAAAGCTAGGTTAAGGGCACGTTTGTATGAAAGCCAAGTGAGCCTGCTAACTGAACCCCAGAATTTGTTACCCCACCCAGGCATAGGCCGCAGTGGAGCAGGGCAATCAGCTTCACTGCTTTCAGGGGTGAGGTCCTGCGTAGAGCACAGAGAAACAGGGGAGAGCCCTGGGCTTATTTCTAAAGGGAGCAGGTCAGAGCTGAGCTGAGCATGCCCCGTTATGGTCATCTCTACCAATCAGATAAATCACTAAGTCACTGCACCTCTCCAGGGGCAGAGAGAGTAAATGGGCAGGGAAAGGAGAAAGTCCAGAGATAAAATAATTGAGCTCCCTTTATAGAAAGGAAACCTCAGGCGTGAGAAAGAAGTGTTATCCATAAACAACTCTCATTTGTTTCTAACGCTGTATAGTATTTTTTGGTAGGATATAATACAATTTATCTACTTTCAAATATTGCTGGAAATTTAGATTGTTTCTAATTCTCCTCTGTTTTTAAATTATGTGGTGTCGCTTGAAAATCTCCAAATTGTTGCTGTCAAACCTTTTGCTTTAACTCTGACTTACTTTCTATAGAGTCTGTATAAACTTGCCAATGAAGAAGCAAAGAAGAAAGGCTACGACTTGCGAAGCGATGCCATCCCGATCGTGGCAGCCAAGGCCTCTAGGGACATCGTCAGTGATGTGAGTAGCAACACTCCGAGTAGTTACATGGTTGGGTGGAGTGGGAGGAAGGATGGTTATTACAATGGGAAGATGCCTCTGGGTGCCAGTTAAAGCACGTTTATTGACTTATTTTTCTAAATAAAAGAAATTATTTTCATTTGAAAAAAACTTTCATATTTTTAGCTCCAAAAGATTTTAATAATCAGGTCCCCTAGGCAGAGACGGTGTCCTGAACTTTAGTACAAATTGAATTTGAATCTACAATTGTCCATATTTATCATTTTGTTTTGTTGTGTTTTGTTTCATTTTTGCTGAGCGAGATTCACCCTGAGCTAACATCCATTGCCAATCTTCCTCTTTTTTTGCTTCAGGAAGATGAGCTCTGAGCTAACATCTGTGCCAATCTTCCTCTATTTTGCGTATGGGTTGCCACCACAGCGTGGCTTTACGAGTGGAGTAGATCTGCACCCGGGATCCAAATCTGCGAACCCAGGCTGCTGAAGTGGAGTGTGTGGAACTTTAACCACTCAGCCACGGGGCTGGCGCCCATATCTATAATTTTGAGACATTCATCTCCATATTTTAGGCACATACCCCTCACAGAAATGAGAAAATGCCAGCAGAGTTTAAAAAAATAACTTGGTTACATGTATTGGTTCAATACCAGAAAAAGACCTGGTACAGCCTAGTCTAGGAAAATGCACCTTTACCCAAACCTGCTTTGGATTTTTGCCAAGTCTTTCTTTGAAAAATTACCTAAGTTCTTCCTTTTGAGTGCTTTTTAAATGAAAACAGAAAAACAAAGACAACCCAAAACAACAAAATGGTAAACCTGATTTCTTTTTGCTGTCCCTGGAAGAAGTGGGTCCCTTGGTGGATAATTCAGACTTTTGTAAATATACGTTTAGATTTGTGTGATGTTGTTGCCTAAAGTGTAGAAAAAACATCCAGAGTCAGCACTTAGCACCACCACCAACAAAATGCTTTCTTATGGGTATACAATCTGTTTACTTGAGGAATCCCAACAAACCTCAGCCAAGTTTGATCTCTGATAGAGCAGGGCATGCAGGATACAAAACACAAGCCAGTCCATTTCAGGGAGTCGAGTGACCCAGTGAAAGTCAGTAGAGCCAGATTTGGGTTAGCTGGGTGGGGTGAAATAATACCTGTGGACTGAGGAAAAGCATTCTCAAAATTGTATGTAAAACTTCTGGGTTTGTGATTTCATTGGCCCAAGAGGAAAGACGCCAGTATACAATACCCATTGATTTTCTGAAAAGTGTTATTGCCTTTATTTCCAGGGACTTAATGTCTGCAAACCATAGAACTAGGCAATTTGGACTGTTCCCATTAGAGTATTGCTGTGAAGTCTAATCAGAGTTTAAGATGAGGAGAGAAGTTGATATTCAGATGATTCCTTTTGTCTGCAAGAATTACCAATTTTAAAATAAAGAAATTTTAAATTAATAAGACTTTTAGCTCTTACTACTCATTTTTGCTTTTAAAACTACCCCTTTTATTTCAGTACAAATACAAAGATGGTTACCGCAAGCAGCTCGGCCATCACATTGGAGCCCGGGACATTAAGGATGACCCCAAGATGATGTGGTCCATGCACGTGGCAAAGGTCCAGAGTGACAGAGAGTACAAGAAAGACTTTGAGAAGTGGAAGACCAAGTTCAGCAGCCCAGTGGACATGCTGGGAGTGGTGCTGGCCAAGAAGTGCCAGACCCTAGTCAGTGACGTGGATTATAAGAACTACCTGCACCAGTGGACGTGCCTGCCAGACCAGAATGATGTTGTCCATGCTCGGCATGCCTATGACCTCCAGAGTGATGTGAGTAATGAGATTCGCTAAATACTACTGGTGACCGTGCTCATGATAGTAATACACAGATAATGGTCTAGGATTAGGTAGAGCCTTCAGAAAGAATAACATTTCTTCTCTCTGTCCTTCATTCACTATGTCTTACTTTTCTTCTAGAGAGAACGTAATACCATGAGGCTATATCCAATTTGGCTTTCATATTTTAAAAGACATAGACATCAAGTTTGGCTATCCAAGTTTTCCAGTTTTTTCTTTCATTTTTGAAATCAAGTGTCATAACAGTTTCAGTAATACTTGCTTTTGTGTTTGATTGTACCAGAACGTTTATAAATCAGATCTCCAGTGGCTGAAAGGTATTGGCTGGGTCCCCATTGGGTCTCTGGATGTGGTCAAGTGCAAGAGAGCTGCAGAGATACTGAGTGACAACCTCTACCGCCAGTCTCCGGACAGGCTGAAGTTCACCAGTGTGCCCGATTCCCTGGAACAGGTGCTGGCTAAGAACAACGCCATTAACATGAACAAGGTGAGCCCCCCAATTTAGGAGAACAGAAAACAGGGCTGTATGTCCTTGAGAATGTCTATGATTAGTTAAGTTATCCAGTTTCTATCCTGTATATAGTGATTTGGGTGAGTTCTCTATTCAGTTACATTAGGATCCCAAAAATATGTGTGGGAATTTCTATTTTGACATCTCTTGCGAAATAGCCAGGGTTAAGAATGGGACATCGTTTGGTGTTCAAATGGTTTGAAGTCTATGAGAGTTATCCACGGCTTGGTATCGAAGTGTCTTTCTTGTGGGGTACTTATCTAGGTAAGTATAGAACAAACAAGTCAGACGCCAATCTCCATAACGTTTATCAAAAAGAAACCTAGAAATGGCATATCCAGGGACATTTGCAGTTAATAAACAAACAAACAAACAAAACCATGGGAAGGATTTGTTAATATAGCCACGGTACATGTGGACATGTATATATCCTTGGAAAATACTTGCTTTTAATTTAATTGGAGTGGATGTGATCTTATAATGAAACACACACACATTTTCTGTTCATATCTTAGTCTATATTTATATTTAGTAACAGTAATACCTTGTAATATCAAAGAGATTGGAGTGTGTTAGTGTACAGCACACAGCATAGGCAGTGAGTAGGCTGGCTCTCCACTTTGTCGTGATCTCTAAATTGGAAACTCCTGTTTACAACAAACATTATTTTTCTAATTCACTAACCTTTTTATCCTTCACAGCGGTTATACACAGAGGCCTGGGACAAAGATAAGACCCAAGTCCACATCATGCCTGACACACCTGAAATTATGTTGGCAAGACAAAATAAAATAAATTACAGTGAGGTAAGACCGTTTGTTTTATCTCCTTGATCTGACCACATTGAAAGGTGGTCAGAATTATGGATTTAATTCTCACGTGGACCAATTAGCTTAGTTTTGTTTTTTTATGCCCATAAGCCTACTCTGACAAATGTATCCTTGTATTTAAAAAGTTGATAGATAGAAAGATGGAGAAATAAATATCAGGAGGGGAAAAAAAACTCTCAAGGTTAACTATTAATGATTGAAACATATTGTAATTTTAATTTAAAAAAATTATTGCCATTTATAAAATTAGTACTTGTTTCAAAATTTGTTCTGTGTGTTTTTCTTCAGTTACCTCATCTGTAAAATGGGATAAAAATGCCTATCTTGAAGAATTTTTGTGATGACTAAATGAGGTAGTATATATAATACGCCCAGCACGGAACCTGGTGCAAAATAGTTGCTTAATAAATTTTAATTTCTTCCCTTTATACTCAAGTCATCACAAAAATTAGATTTATTTAATATACTCAAAATAACTTGAGGTTTATTTACAAGAACTGAAATGAGAGTGCTTAAATTCGTCCATTTCGAAATTGCCTAAGGACAATAAAATACATTCTTTTATGCACTATCTCCAGTCTCACTAAACTTGTCATCACATATCTTTGCGGTCCAGAAATACTGGTGCAGAAACAGCTTCTTGTCCAATTGTTCTTGCCAAAGTCAAGAATTATCTGGTTTATTCCAGACGAATACAAATCTCTTACGTGTTTGTGTGTCTTCTCTTAAAAAGAAAAAAGGGAGGGCCAACTTTTCTTCAGTTTGAGAACGCTGGAAAATTTAAGTACTCATTTTCAAAACTTGATCACATTCATTATTTTACCGGAATTAACGACTTTTGCCTATAATAATGTAGTCCTAAAGAAGAGGCGTGCTTATATCAAATAACCATGACTAGTGAATTGCAGAGGATACCATTTCCCTTTGCCTAGCGTTATAAACTAGACCCAAGGACAAGCCTGATCATAAGTATTTGATTGACCTTGGATTCTGTCATTTTGAATGAGCAATTTTTCCCTTGGCCACATACCTTCTCTGTTGGGTTAGCTTTTCCCAGCAAGTCTGTCTCACCCCGAGAAAGATGAAGTTTGTTCCTATCCCAAATTGTAATGATGCTTTTAAGCCTCTCCCTTTTGTTAAAATTAGGTCAGATGTGGTAGGTTTTTTTCCTCCAGACTGCTGTGAGGAAATTGAGCTACCTTTTATTTCTATAAATTTCAGCTGGATTTACCTTCTTTAAAATTGCACGATGACCTTAATTCCCTAAGGACTGTCTTCTGAAGATTAGATTTCAGAAGGGCCCACTTGAATTTCTTCTCAACCCATTACCATTGGTACCTTCATTCCATATTTAGTTCAATAAACGTAAACAAAACAAAGCAACCACATCTTTTTTTTCTCTTAAATTCTCATTTACTGTTCTAGTTCTCTTGGATAAGTAACTTAGCATTCTCTTTTCAACCCTGCATCTTTTGCAAATGTTGGAAGAATGAAAGAAATCTATTTGTTTGACCTGAAGCCATGAGATGATTCAAGCACATTTTTTCCCACTTATACATAAAGACAAATTTGAGCGTTTATTCTTCAAAGGAAAAATATCATAGATGAAGTATTTGACTCTCCAGTTACAAAATAAACATTTCTACAAATTTTTTTTTTTTTTTTGAGGAGGATCAGCCCTGAGCTAACATTTGCCAATCCTCCTCTTTTTGCTGAGGAAGACTGGCCCTGGGCTGACATCCATGCCCATCTTCCTCTACTTTATATGGGACACAACCACAGCATGGCCTGACAAGCGGTGCATTTGTGCGCGCCCGGGATCTGAACCCGGGCTGCCAGCAGTGGAACACGCGCCCTTAACCCCTACGCCACAGGGCTGGCCCCTAGAAATTTTTAAGAACAAATGCCCTTATCTCAAATGTATCAAATTTATTCTTATTTTTACTTTAGCTTTTCCTTGTGAAATTTCATCTTGAAAAGAATGTAAATTGCCACATATCAATAATCTAATAAATCTAATCTAATCTAATTAAAAACATACAATAATGTCCCTCTAGGACCCTTAAGTCACTTAAAAATTAAGTGCCTCTGCATCATATTTAAAATCCAGATATTATTCCAATATTCTTAATTCAATCTAATTTGAGAATGGGGCATAATGATGAAGCAATTAGTTTTCATTATTTCTGCCACACTTTTTAAGGATTTTCCTTACATTTAAGATTTTGTCTTTACACAGCCTCAACAATGAAAAATACACGGAACAACATAAAGTAGAAAGAAAGATAAAGCCCTAAAGAATTGTAGATCATTATTGTTTTTTTCCTTAAAACCATAAGTAATTTCTAAATCCTTTTCCTGTACTCTCTACTGGTATTGGATCTGCTTTCCTGACTCAATAAGTCTCTTAATAGAAGAAAGGGCGAAAACTGAAATTAAAGATTAAATTATTCCATTGTAGACAAATTTAAGGACTATGTCTCTGTTTTGGGGGGAGCTACCTTCAAATCTCAGGTGTCCTCGAGGCTACACAGAGGCTTTCCAGCAGGTATGCCGGCATGTATTGTTTTAAGCAAATTGTTTAGCATAGCTTCAACCTCCGTGGTACTCTTTTCTAAATTATCTGCCTGAGAACCCCCGCCCTCCCGTTTGAGTGTGTTCCACCTCCTCTTTCGTAGTCACTTTTCTTTCCCTTTAAAACAAGAAAAGCACAAATTAAAGGCAATGAAGAGACTAGGCAGCTAAATGCCACTTATGCCCCTGAATTGGATTCTAGATAGAAAAACATTGCTATAAAGCACCTTACTGGAACAATTGGTGAAATTTGAATATTCGCTGTATATTAGGTAATAGTATTGTGTCAATATTAAATTTCCTGAATTTAGTAAATATATTGTGGTTGTGTAAAAATAACTTTATTTTAGGAGATACATGCTCAAGTATTTAGGGGTGAAGGTCGTGATGTCTATAATTTAACTCTTAATTGGTTCTTGTTATTGAAAATAAGAAGAAGAATTAAAAAATAAATATACACACCACACATACACGTATATAATGAGAGAGATAAAGCAAATATGGCAAAAATGTTAATAATTGGGTAGTTTGGTATTCATTGTACTATTATTATAACTTTTCCGTAGGTTTGAAATTTTTCAAAATGAGAAAAATATACATTTTTAAATATTAAAACATACATTAAAATATTTAACTGTGTGATTATATAAAGATTTTATTTTTAAAAAGAGGAAAAAAGAGTCATACCTGTACCAACAGTTAACGTGATACATAACCAAGAGTATTAAAAAAAAAGAAACTCTGCCAATTTAATCCTATAAATCACAAAAATATTGAGGTCCAATAAATGTTTACTTTTTATGTTTAAAAATTATTTATCAAAATGTATATTTTATTTATCTTATTTTTATTATTTGAATATCAATATTAGCAATTATTTAAAAATTTATTTTGTTTTAACAGTGTATAGAATTGGTCAAAATTCTTGTAAGTGTCTCAGAAGCAAAAAAAGCTGGAGACTTCTGGTATAGATGATTTGTTTAATGCCGTGGTTCTCAAACTGTGTTCCCGTGGAACGCCTGTGTTCCACCTTCTGTGTGCATCTGTCCTGCCATGGAAACTGAACAGTGGGTGTTTTACCAATTCACAGAAAAAATTAACAAATAAAATTTTATCAATTTTGTGTTTTTGACCCATAAATCTTTGATACCTGCTATCCCCCTGTCTGCTAGCAATTTCAAGCAACTGACAAAATGAATAAATAGGGAGCAAATCGATATGAACAAAGATACTCAGAAACAGTGGGTTATGCTGAGTTCAGCACTGTTTGATGATAGATACGTGCTCATAGTGGTAGTATTATTATTGCATATTATTATATAATCATATTCTCTGCTAGTAAAATTGTTCCTAATTCAAATTTGGAGTTAAATTAATCAACATTTCTTGGTTGTTTCATGAGAAGAGCAAGTGCTGAATGATTTAGACACATTTGAGAGCTGTTGACTTAATGTCTAAAATCTATACAGATTTATGGAAAGAGAACTTGTAGTGTTAAAATCTGCTGAATGTAAAATTTCAATTTAAGTAAATAGCTTGGATAAAAAGAGAGATTTTTTGTTTGTTTTATTTAAGGCTGAACATACTAGGGCAATTCTGTATCCACAAGTAGTCTTCCTTTAACAAAAATACATTTTTAGAGTGAAAATGAGTACTATATCTGAAAGCTACCACTTCTTTCCTCAGAGCCTCTATCGCCAGGCCATGGAAGAAGCCAAGAAAGAAGGCTATGACTTGAGAAGCGACGCCATTCCCATTGTGGCTGCCAAGGCCTCCCGGGACATTGCCAGTGATGTAAGAGCTGATCAAGTCCTTACATTTGTTAGCAGGCCAGCCCACTGTATAGGGAATCACATTACCGGAATACAGCTGGAAGTCTCTTCAGGCATCATCTGTCTTAACTGCCTTCATTGTCTAGGCAAATAAATTGAGGCTTTGAGAAAAAGGTAACCTGTCCAGGATCACAGGCATCAATAGAGACAAAGCCTGGACTAGAATGTGGTTTCTTTGACTCTTGGCTTTTGGTTTTTGCTTAATAAGACTGAGTGCCTTGATTAAAGTTAGATGGACATACGTTGAGGACAAAACTTTACGAGCTCTCCTTAGGACACATTCAAGGCAAAGATGTCAGGAAAGAAGCAGGCTTTAACTGAATTCTCCCTTATGGCTTGAAGAAGGACATAGGAGAGCAAAAAAGCTATACGGTAGTCCCCCTTTATCCATGGTTTTGCTTTCCGTGGTTTTAGTTACCAACAGTCCAAAAATACAGTACAATAAGATATTTTGAGAGAGAGAGAGAGAGAGAGACCACATAACTTTTATTACAGTATGTTGTTGTAATTGTTCTATTTTGTTATTATTGTTATTAATCTCTTACTCTGCCTAATTTATAAATTAAACTTTATCATAGATATGTATGTATAGGAAAAAACATAGTCTATATAGGGTTCGGTACTATCCACAGTTTCAGACATCCACGGAGGGTCTTGGAACGTATCCCCTCTGGATAGGAGGGACTACTGTAAGTCTCCTCTCTGAGGGGTCCACAAAATCAATTTTCCTTTATCCTAAAAATGAAGATGTCAGATTTCTGGACAACTTAAATATTAATCCAAGAGTAGCAAAACTGTCCGTTTTTGAGGTTTTTCTTTTTCTTTTTCCTCTGATAAACACATAGCATAAAATTTACTGTCTTAACCATTTTCAAGTGTATAGTTCAGTAGCGTTCCAGGACTTTTTCATCTTGCAAAACTGAAACTCTGTGCCCATCAAACAACAAAAATTGCCCATTTTGAAACTACTCCTCCCAGATTATTTGTGCAGAGGAAATTATTTCTCAGAATACCCTAGGGAAAAAAATTAAGAACCATGTAAACATCTCAGGTGGGTCCACCCACAAGACTGACTTCTGAGACACTGTTTATCACTGTAACTGAGCTCACCCTTTCAATGAACATACTAGGGAACATATGCTTTTAAATCACTTTTTATCAACATGTAATTTTCCAGCATAATATAAAGGAATCACTGTGAAGTTATTCTGAGGAAGTGTGCAAATGAGCACAACATCCTCTTCTTTGGGTGTAAGCTTGCTCCAATGTGTAGCATCATGTGATGAAACTCCTCTGGTGTCTTAAAGATTTCACAGAAAGGCATCACCTCAGAAAGAAAAACAGGGCATAGCCCTTGATGCTTCCTCCTTATTTACTGGTCTCTCTCTTTCAGTACAAATACAAAGAAGCTTATCGTAAGCAGTTGGGTCACCACATTGGCGCCCGGGCAATACATGATGACCCCAAGATGATGTGGTCCCTCCACATTGCCAAAGTGCAGAGTGACCGTGAGTACAAGAAAGACTTTGAGAAATACAAGACAAGGTACAGCAGCCCAGTCGACATGCTTGGCATCGTTTTGGCCAAGAAATGTCAGACCTTGGTCAGCGACGTGGACTATAAACATCCTCTGCATGAGTGGACCTGCCTGCCAGACCAGAATGACGTCATCCATGCTCGGAAAGCTTATGACCTCCAGAGTGATGTGAGTATCATTGACGTTGGTTCTGCATGTTAAAAGCAGATCTGAAACATGTCCGTAGGTTCTGACTGGTGCCAAAGGATGGAAATTTGTATATTTTAAACAGTATACAATTAAATGTTTGAAAAGAGTTTTCCATTGGAAGCACTACAATTCATTTCCAATTTTTATTGGAAGAAGTATGTGAAAGAAGTAAAGTATATACCATCAATTATATACAGGTATATTTCTTCCTGGTGATTTGGGCTTCCTTTGTCTGAGTTAGGTAAAACTTAGTCTTCAGAAATATATAGCTACAAGTTTTTGGCTTAAGAGGTGGAAATTTTTGTGTGTGTCAGTGGAGGATAGTGTGGAGAGAGTGGGAACAGAAGTATTTATGCTAAGTTATTTGAATAAACATTCATATTTTATACCTAATGACAGGAAAATGCTAAGACATTCTTGTCTTTTTCAAAACCAATCGTCTAATTCTTATTAACAGTTAGCATATCCTATTGAGAGTAAAATAAAATGAATAGTTAGGGAAATATCTAATATATTTTCTTTACAACGCCACATTACACACTTGATATTTTGTGATTTTGAAGATGGAAACAAAGGCAAGAGTTTTTTAAAAGTTCTCATCACAAGAAAAAAAAAGTGTAACTATGTGTGGTGATGGATGTTAACTAGACTTATCATGGTGACCATTTTGCAATATATACGTATATTGAATCATTATGTTGTATACCTGAAACTAATATAATGTTATATGTCAATTATATCTCAATTTAAAAATGCAAATAAAGAATGTGATTTGCAAAACTTAACTTTACTCTATGTTGAAACTCACCACTATAGTTGAATTTCACCTCTTTCCCCGCTCCCCCAGAAAAAGGCAAGAGTTTTTGTGACTGCAACACTCACACGGCATTGGTCTTAATGTGTGGTCTTATTGAGCGCTATTAGAGCACATTTTCCAAGGCGAAGGAAGCTCTGCTCTTGTGTGAAAATCTTGTAATACCGTCAAGGGTAGGACTGTGTCTTTTACTTTTAAAAAAATCTCTCATCCCTCTTGGTACAATCCTCTGTACCAAAAAATGCTCAGGAAAAAAATATGCTCAGGATTCAATAAGCTTGTGAATGAGTGATCGACTGTGCTGGGACCTTTGTCTGTACATCAACACTTTTGCATTTCTCTAGCATGAGCCACTTGGTGACTATGAATCTGAAACACTATTTAATAAATGTGTTTCTTATCTGTTGATTTGCAGAATTTGTATAAGTCAGACCTTGAATGGTTGAAAGGCATTGGCTGGGTTCCACTTGGCTCCTTGGAAGTTGTTAAAGCCAAGAGGGCCACAGAGATCCTGAGTGATAACATCTACCGTCAGCGTCCGGACACACTGAAATTTACCAGCATACCTGACTCTCTGGAGCAGGTGCTGGCAAAGAACAACGCTATCAACATGAATAAGGTGGGTTCAGTCCTCACTGTTAGATATAGGAATTCGCCACAGAACGAGGTAAAAATTCTCACATATTAATACATTTTAAAGATTCCTATAGGATTTATGATACCTTTCAAAATGATTTTTCCATTATAATACCATAGTCACTTAGTAATACTTCAAAATATTAAACTGATATTAAAAATACTATGTGCTGTAATTATTTCATAAGTACAGATTTAAATACTGCAACCTAATTATACTTTTCAGAACCATTAAATAATTTTAATAAGAAACAGTAAAAACTCTGAGTCTGTAAAAAATGATGAGCTAAAAACTCTTTGAAATTTGTCTACCTGTAAGGTAGGAATTTATACAACTTCAATCATTTTATTTCTACTTTGGATAGAGGAGAGGTGACTGGCACATAATCAAAAGAAAAGTGTCTGTGAACTCCAAACTAATTTTTCTCGTCATTTTTTTCCCGTAGCGTTTGTATACTGAAGCCTGGGACAACGATAAGAAAACAATCCACGTCATGCCTGACACACCAGAAATCATGCTAGCCAAACTCAACCGAATAAACTACAGTGATGTGAGTAAACTATTGATCTTATAATGAACAGAAAGACAAAAATGAACTATTATAACTGTTTCCTTAATGAAATGTTTTGACTAATTTATTATATGTACTCTAAACTAACATTGTCAGTAGAAGAGATAGTTCTCCATTGATTCAATTTTGGGCTATGTGGTATGTCCACAAAGTAGGCCAGCCTTTTAGCAACAGGATATCAGGGAATGGAATGTTTATGGAGAAATATCCCAATAGGAATTATACTCCTAAAGCCTTCCCCTGCGGGTCAATGTGGGTACCAAATCATTATTTTATTCAACAACTATTTAGCAGGTAGGCACTGGGTTGGAACTCAGCGAGTTATCACGTCCTGTATTATTTTACTGCTTCATTAACGTTCTGGTTACCATTTAATGTTATTTGCAAGCATTTTTCTAGGCATCTCTTTCAGAACCACGTTTTCATTAGGGCGATGATTCTGAAACCCTACTGTACAGATTGATCATGGTCTGTGATGATAGTCCACATCAAAATGAGAAAAAATAAGGACAATGTACTCACTAAGTTTTTAATAAATCCAAATATATTCCATTTTAAAATACTGCCTTTATTCTTTCTCCTTCTTTAGTATTAAGATGGCCTTTCTTTTATATTATGATGGTGATAGTAAATAATTGTTTTATTACATGTGCTTTTTTGGCAAAACAAAGTTTTGGCAGTCACATGCTAATATCCCCCAAAATTTTTTGAAATTTACTGATCAACAAAATCCCAAAGTTTAGAACATGCGCCTTAAAATCCTTGAGCACCTATGAAGCAAAGTTTTGTGCAAGCCCACCCTAATACTTGACTTTGTGGATTTCTTTCTGTGGTTTAAGTGAGGACAGAGAAAATTTAATAATAAACAACTTCATTTTTTATGAAAGGAGTAATGATTAATCACTCTCTTTTCTACAGAAACTCTATAAACTTGCTTTGGAAGAGTCCAAGAAGGAAGGCTATGACTTGCGTTTGGATGCCATTCCAATCCAGGCAGCCAAGGCTTCAAGAGATATTGCTAGCGATGTAAGCTGATGTTTTTGGAAGAGGCGTTTATTAAAGATGTTCACAAATGGCAGCTTTTATAGTTTTTCTTGCCAGAATTTTGATTGTCTTTACAAGTCTTAATTTCATTTATTGATTCCCCTACGTGCCAAATTGCAAATGAAAACAAAGAAAAGTACAAGATGCTATATCCACTATACCTGTTCCTCAAAGACAGAATATTCTTAAAAAATAAGTGTTTTATGGACAACAAAAATGGGTTCATATTTTTGAGCCTCAGAAATTGAGCAGCGGTGGACCCAGATGTTTGTAAAAAAAAACATTGATGGCACGTGTAAATCAGCCAGTATAAATGCAAACTCTTTCCCACTACTTCTATGTGTTTACTCCGGCATTAAAGGAAGACTAGATGATGGATGTGTTTTAGACTTTTGTTTCATTCTTTGTAACTTTTAGTAGGATTCTCCTTCCAAGATGTCCCTAACTGGGTATAAGAACAAATTGAGAAGTAAGAGAAGCTTTTTCTCAGCACCCACTTGTCTCTTCTCTCTAGTCCTTCTCTTCTTATCAGAAACAGCCACTGAGAGTGACCAATGCCCTCATTCTGTACCAGGGCTCCTTAGGACCCAAATCCAGACTTCCCTTCTTCTGGAAGGATCCCATGCCTTAGACTGATGCTTCATTCCTTCTATTACCAAAACTTTTTCTGGCTATTAAGTTGGAGAAGCCCACACTATGATCATCTCATGGTAAAATGGGCCATAACATGTTATCTTTGAATTTTAAAAGTAGATAGAGTGTTAACCCAAGGCATGACTCTCTCATGGTGGAAGTTCAATGACATTGATAGGCTAATAAGGGAAATATTTCCTGGTGAAACTATCTAAATGTAGCCCATATCCTGGACCAGGAAATTCACTCGAAGTTCTAATTATAAGGGATATATTCTAAAATATTCTTAATATCAACACATTTTTAGAAAAAAATAGCCACATCTTTAAATTAGGTAAATGTTCTTTTAGTTTGTACAAGATGTTTTATCTTTATTTGTTAAGCAATCAAATGTAAACCAGGTAGTATAATTTAGTAGAAGGTAAAAAATATTAGGAGCCAGAAGCTCTCCATTCTAGTCTCAGCTTGCCACCTACTTCTAATGTGACCTTGAACAAATCACTTAACCCCTCTAGACTTCAGGTTTCTATTTTATAAAATGGGGTTGATAATATTAACCTTTCTCCCTCACACTAGTGGTGGGGAAAATCAAAAGAAATAATGTGTGTATAAAACTATGAAATGTGATATAAATGAGATATTCTTATCATTAGACTCATATCCCTTTTCTTTTTTCAGTACAAGTACAAGGAAGGCTACCGCAAACAGGTTGGCCACCACATTGGGGCCCGAAACGTTAAGGATGACCCCAAGATGATGTGGTCCATGCACGTGGCCAAGATCCAGAGTGACAGGGAGTACAAGAAGGACTTTGAGAAGTGGAAGACCAAGTTCAGCAGCCCCGTGGACATGCTGGGGGTGGTGCTGGCCAAGAAGTGCCAGATCCTTGTAAGCGACATAGACTACAAGCATCCTCTACATGAATGGACCTGTCTCCCCGATCAGAATGACATCATTCATGCTCGGAAGGCCTATGACCTTCAGAGTGATGTAAGTGGGTCTAATATTCTTTAACATATGTTTAAAAGGTTTTAAGAAGGGGTTCTAACTTTTTTTATGCTGTGGAATCTTTTGGCAGTCTGATGAAACCTATAGACAACTTCTCAGGACAATGTCATGAAATACATAAAATGAAGTATATGTATATATTGGTTTCAAAAGAAATTGATCACATCAAAATACGGTTATCAAAATATTAAACTAAATCTGTGATGTAGTAATATATATACTTTTTATTAACACATTAAATAAAAATATCTAACAGTGGGTGTAATAACTAGTTTAATTTCAAAGAAGTGATGGGTGTAAGTATTTTAAGATGTTTGCAACAACTCTAATGGGATATGAAACATTTGTGATTTCTCTTGCTAACAAAGCCCCATGTAATGGTAATGCTACTATGATCTGTTGCCTATACTTATAAGTGAAAGAAATGCTATATTTCAGTTAAAAGTTAATGAAAATAAAGATATTATGTTTTTTCTATCCAAGTTCATTGATGCCAGGTTAAGATTTTCTGGCTTAATGCAACCTAATTTTCCAAATGCATTGATTGTATTATCATTTTTCTAACTACTTAACTTATAGGAAATATCTTATAACTTGTGAAAGGAAGTTTAAGAATGAATTGTACAGGGGCCACCCCAGTGGCGCAGCGGTTAAGCGCACACATTCCACTGCAGCGGCCCGGGATTCGCAAGTTCGGATCCCCGGTGCACACCAATGCACCACTTGTCGAGCCATGCTGTGGTGGCATCCCATATAAAGTGGAGGAAGATGGGCACAGATGTTAGCCCAGGGCCAATCTTCCTCAGCAAAAAGAGGAGGATTGGCATGGATGTTAGCTCAGGGCTGAGCTTCCTCAAAAAAAAAAAAAAGAATGAATTGTACATATTGAGACAATTTTTCTAAGAAGCTGAAAACAAGAGCTTTCTAGGAATATGTTAGGTCCTTTTGTTGTCAACTAGTAGATTATTCTTGGGATTCACATTCTACCGCATTGGTATAGAAGCTTCTTGTTTTTTGATCAGTCTCTGACAAGTAGTCACTTTTGAAAGAATGATAAACGTAGTGACACTATAAAAAAGAGTTTCTGAAAAAGCCATAAACACAAAAAGAATTATTACCTTTGCTTATGAGAAAAATTCTCCTTCAGCCAATTATTTTAATTCAAAGAAGAAAAATGAAAGAAAGATAAAGTATATAAAATAACACAAGAGAGGGGACTGAGGATAAGACAAATAAGAGGAAAAATATATGTACTCTTTGGCTTAGAAGCACATATATAGAATCATATGAAAAAAGATGCCCTTTTTGTTGTCCCCAGAAAACACGTTAATTCAACATGTGGTCAGCCAGTAGTGTTCATCCTTTCTTTTTTTTTTAACAGAAATTGCATTTTATAATTTTATTTATTTATTTATTTATTTTCCCCCCAAAGCCCCAGTAGATAGTTGTATGTCATAGTTGCACATCCTTCTAGTAGCTGTATGTGGGATGCGGCCTCAGCATGGCCGGAGAAGCGGTGTGACGGTGCGCGCCCGGGATCCGAACCCGGGCCGCCAGCAGTGGAGCGCGCACACTTAACCGCTAAGCCACGGGGCCGGCCCCATCCTTTCTTTATGTTACACGACCGGTTGTGAAGGCCATTGCCCTATGAGATAGGAACAAACCGTATTCTAACAGAGTATTATTCCCACACAAGGCGGTATAGGCATCAGAGAACAAACACTTTGTATCAGGAGGCAGGCAGTAATTCTCTTAAAATGGTTTTGTATCAGTGAAATCACATATTACTAGAGAGAGTTCTTTAGAACAGCAAACTTTGGCTACCTTCAGGGACAAAGCGTTTGACTAGCCACACTATACCCAAGTAAGGCAATCCTGTGGGTTTTCCCAGAAATTATACATCATCTGTATATGCTAAATCAGGATCAGACACCAGGCTGTCTATGTAATTTCTGCAAATATTTGACATTATTTCATTTTCAGGCTATTTACAAGGCTGATCTTGAATGGCTGAGAGGCATTGGCTGGGTGCCGATTGGCTCTGTAGAGGTCGAGAAGGTGAAGAAAGCTGGAGAAATCCTGAGTGAGAAGAAGTACCGCCAGCCTGTAGACCAGCTCAAATTCACATGCATTACAGACACCCCAGAGATTGTCCTGGCAAAGAGCAATGCCCTGACGATGAGCAAGGTGAGTCTCCAGCTGTTTCCAGTTGCCTGAGTCTTACTTTCCACAGACTTGGCTCATAAAGTGAGAAATGCCACTCTAAGCATTTCCAGGGAAAGGAGATGTAACGGGCCTGATTCTCATGTAGGTCTTCAATAGGGCATCCGCTTGAGTTCTAGTTGGACCTCCATGCTCTTTTCAACATGGTGTCCCCTAATTCTCTGTGTGCATGAGGATATAGCTTGGGATAACTTCTCTGGAGTAATGCACACACTCTTCTGAGCAGTGACCTGGAGACATCCACAAAGACATTGCTTTTCCCTGCACATTCCCCTAGGTGGAGCACACTCAAGCCATTGGCCTCTCTTTATCCATCCTTAAGAAATATACAGCCGTTTAGCCTTTCGTTCTGCAATCTGGGAAACCCAGTGTTCAGAGCAGTGCCAGTGCACAACTCAAATTAGTTGCTTGGTTCGCTCTTCCGCCTTAGGTGGTGGAAATCCACTTTGGAAAGTGAGCTGCTATTGTTGCTTTTGCTTTCATTACACAAAATAGATGATCACTTCTTTTCTCCAGAGTTCTACAATCTGTTTACTGATCCTGGGCTAATTCTTTATCCAATGGGTAGGCCCTTAATATGCACATTTTAGATTGAGTTGAACTCATCTGAATTCTCCCACGCCTGCCTGGATGTCTTCCAAACATTCAGGTAGTGAGACTGAGTGCTCAGTGCAGGATATGAAATTAGCTCTTAGTAGCAAAGTCCAGAGCTTGGGGTATTAAAACTCCAGAAATTCTATTTTATACCACGCCCATCAACAGCAACCACGGTGATCCTTAACAATAGGAAACACCATAAAATTCATTGAGTGCCTACTATGACTCAGGCATTTTGCTTATGTTATAGTTAATCTTCGAAAAACACACAATTAAAAAAATATGATTATCCCCCTCTTAGAAATGAGGAAAGTGAGGCCTTATGTACTTTTCTCAAGATCACACAGCACGGACCTGGTGGAGTTCTATAGCCAAGCTCCATCCTTGGAGGTCCTATAAGTAAGCTTGAGATTCACTGGAGGAAAAGAATTAATAATTGAGACCATTATATTGGTTCATATTAGCTATAAAACTATCATACAGCTGTTTAAATACTGCCATGCTTCCCTCCTCCCACTGCCCTTTCGCTTGCCTCACCACCAAATAGCCTTAAAAAGGCTTTTTTTTTTTAACAGTTAAATGTGTTAAATTTGGTAATAACTCAAATGTGTTGGTTTAACAAAGGGTTTTATCTCATCTCCCCCCATAGCATTTATATACGGAAGCTTGGGATGCTGACAAAACCTCTATCCATGTGATGCCAGACACTCCAGAAATCCTACTGGCCAAGAGTAATTCTGCCAATGTCAGCCAAGTAAGAGATTTCCTGATTGTCATTTAAGCCTTTCTAGGACTAATTAAGATATCTTTTCAGCCTTACCACTTTCCTGTCTGGGATAGGTCTGTTAACTTTCTAAAACACTTTTATTTTTCTGTTGTGTATTATTCTCCTTCTAGAAACTTTACACCAAGGGATGGGATGAATCAAAGATGAAGGACTATGATCTAAGAGCTGATGCTATTTCCATCAAAAGTGCCAAGGCCTCGAGGGACATCGCCAGTGACGTAAGTATCTTCTGTCTAACCCCCTTGGGTCTCACGTTGCAGAACAACCATAGCGCTGCTGGTGGGCCACACTTGGTAATTGCTTCTACATGTGTTCCCCAGTCTTGCTTCCTACCTTCTAAGACCTTTCCCTTTGTTGTCACAGAGAAGAAAAATACATTTTTGAATTGTAGTTAAGAGTTGCTGCAGGGAAGGCTTCCACCAATGAAGATATATGATTACACTATAGTTACATTTATGATAGTATAAAATGTTAGTTAAAAGTTGCTTAGAGATGGCAAAATGTTTGCAATATGAAATTCTTGTCCATTTGCTTGTGGGTTTTTGTGTTGTCTGTAATTGTTAGCATGCATATGGTCTTAAAACTGTGTTTTTAAACCTGTATTTCTGCCATTTTAGTACAAATACAAAGAAGCATACGAGAAACAGAAAGGCCACCACATTGGAGCCCACAGCATTGAAGATGACCCCAAGATTATGTGTGCCATACATGCAGGGAAGATCCAAAGTGACAGGGAATACAAGAAGGATTTCCAGAAGTGGAAGACCAAGTTCAGTAGCCCAGTGGACATGTTAGACATCTTGCAGGCCAAGAAATGTCAGACTCTAGTCAGTGACATTGATTATCGAAATTACCTGCATCACTGGATATGCTTACCTGATCAAAACGACGTTATCCAAGCAAAAAAGGCCTATGAACTGCAGAGTGATGTATGTAACATGAATTTGGGGAAAGGTGGAATGGGAGGACATTGATTTATTAATTGTCCAGTCAGTGCCTCTGTGGACTGACCCAACAGTTGTGCACTGCACAACTCCAGGGGGGCACCATTCACATCATTTAGTACAAAACTCATATGTAGGAGTTGCCATGGGAATCAAAGAATATAGATGAAGAACCCTACTTAGGTCATGTCCTGTATTCCCTGGCCTAGATTCCAGACTATTTTCTTCATGTCATTTGTACTTTCTGGAAATGAAAATATATTTCAGACAAACATAAATTATTTCAATGTTTTTAAAATAACTGCCACTATTGTACTATATCCAAAACACTAAACAGAGTTTCCTTGGGTCAGTTATTATAGGATGAAAATGGAATGAGAGTCAACAAAATTCCCTTAAAAAATTTTTCAGTGATATAATTTTTTTAAATATCAAATAATTATCGTGAAATTCAGCATTATTACTATTTTATTCCTATTCATGGCTAATATAAATAATTATGCTTTTACAAATCACTCTATCTTCAATATTACAACCCCCGAGTCATGTAAAATCTCAGGTCTTACTTTTTTGGAACTACTATCTCCTATGCTTATCAACCCCTCACTCCCATGGACTTTATTTTTCAATTAAGGGTGGTATGTCTAACACTGGAACTAAATTTCTGTCTAATATCTTTCTAGAATGTGTATAAAGCAGACCTGGAGTGGCTGCGTGGCATCGGCTGGATGCCAGAAGGCTCAGTGGAAATGACCAGGGTGAAGGGTGCCCAAGACCTGCTGAATGAAAGACTCTACAGAACGCGACCAGAAGCCTTGAAATTCACGTCCATTGTTGACACTCCGGAAGTGGTCCTGGCAAAAGCCAATTCTCTGCAAATGAGTGAGGTAAGAACAATCCTATTACCAAGCTTTCTTTTTATGGGACTCTGTTTTCGGATGATGCCACCCAAACTGAGCAAGTAGTCCGTTCCTCTTCAAAGACTTATAGTGATGGGAGCAACTCTAAGAATCTCTTGATTAGTTGGTGAAGGCTCATTCAAAGTAGAACTCTGGCAAATGTCAACGTGCCTTTCCCCTGCCATACATGCACACTTTGAAGCACTGAAATAAAAAATGTCACTCCATTGCAGTTGAGGGAAATAAGTATTTATTTAACTCCTCTTAAATACTAAAACTTGTGGCTTAATGCTTCATATTAAATGGCATAACGTTGTATTAGTCAGAGTTCTCCAGAGAAATAGAACTACTAGGATGACAGAGAGAGAGGAGAAAGATTCATTTTATGGAATTGGCTCACACAATTGTGGAGGCTGGCAAGTCTAAAATCTGCAGGATAGGTCAGCAAGCTGGAGACCCAGGGAAGAGTTGCAGTTCAAGCCCAAAGGCTGTCTGCCGGCAGAAATTCTTGCTCATGGGAGGTCAGTCTTTTTTCTGTTAAGGCCTTCAACTGATTAGACAAGGCCCACCCACATTGCACAGGGTAGTCTGGTTTACCCAAATTCTACTGATATAAATGTTAATCTCATCAAAAAATACCTTCACAGAAACATCTAGAATAACATTTTATCAAATATCTGGGTACTGTGGCCCAGCCAAGTTAACACATAAAATTAACCATCACAAACATATATAAAAACATTTTTCCAGGTTAAATAGATGCTAAGTCTTAATGTTTCAGATATCCACTCTCTATTGCTGTATTAAAGTAGTATTTTCCTTCTCTCCACAGAGGCTGTATCAAGAAGCATGGAATAAAGATAAAACCAATGTCAGCATTCCTTCTGACACGCCACTCATACTGCAGGCCCAAATCAATGCCTTGCAGATCAGCAATGTAAGAGGCATAAGTATGAAGTGTAAATGCCCTTATGGGACAAGATCTGTCAGTGTGTGGAGTGTGTTATAATGGACAAATGACCTGTCTTAGAGATGTGTACAGCTCTTGGTACTAGACATTTTCTCTTTAGCTACCATTCCCAATGCAATATGAATGGCAATTCTGTCTTCAAACGTTAGTTTAGATACGTGGCTGGGTCCTTGGACTGCAAGAGTTGGCATACCTGAATCCTAACGCCTAATGGTGTCCTCCTTTCAACCTTGAAATTGTTGTCTTATATCCAATGTCCACAGCTCAGCTTCATTGTATATTAATAGAGAATAAGGAAATCCTTAGTTAAGTGCCTCTTACACGTGAAAGAATAAGAGGAAACAGTCTCTATTGTCTTTAGGTTTTTGATTGATCCATAGCTTTCTTGTTTGACATTTCAAGGCCATAAGAAAAGCCAAAAGATAATTTTTAATTACAGTCATATGCTGCATAACAAAGTTTCAGTCAATGATGGACCACACGTACGGCAGTGGTCCCATAAGATTAGTGGCATATGGCCAAGGTGTGTAGTAGGCTATGCCATCTAGGTTTGTGTAAGTACTCTCTATGATGTTTGCACAATGATGTAATCACCTAATGGTGCATTTCTCAGAACGTGTTCCTGTTGTTAAATGACGCATGACTGTATACCCAAAGAGCAGGATATGTATGAATATCTAGGTCACATCCCTTTAGCAGAGACCTCTGAGAAGTCAAAGGGCAACATTAGGATAAAGCTTATCAGGTCTTATATTGGACCTTGAGGAAGGTTCTCTAGCTTCACAGTTGAGTCTTAGTTTCCAATATACTGTGTGGTGGGATATTTTCAGATGTGTATCATATTGTGATGAATGCAAATATTCAAATATTAGTAGATTTAGTTGTTTAGCTTTAAAATTTTTATCAGAAGTATCCTGCTCTCCACAAAGTAAATAGCCAATAACCAAAAGAAGAACTCAGAAGTGACTCTTTTCCTTATGCTGCCTTTGTTTATATTATGCCTTAGGATTCATATTATGACTACTTTGAGTATATTTGCTTATTTTCAATTCTTGTAAACAAACCTGTTTTCCCTCATTAGAAACTCTACCAGAAAGACTGGGATGAGGCCAAGCAGAAAGGATATGACTTAAGAGCAGACGCCATTGAAATCAAACATGCCAAAGCCTCCAGAGAAATTGCCAGCGAGGTAAGGTCCTTCTATTTCCTTGTGGTTTTTCTTTTCTGTACAACAAATGGGCGGAGCATTTTTCAAGAATTTTGGGGTTTTTAAAAATCTATGCAAACAATTGCATTTTGTCTCGCGCTAAAGACTTTCCCTATTTAAAAACATTAAAATGGGATGAAACACATTAAAGTTAACATAGGTGAGGTATCTGTGTAAATAACTTCTAAGTTGTTTCTAAGTAGAAGTAAAATATCATGAAGAGTCTATGCTAAATTCTTGGGAAAATTTCAGGAACCAATACAATGTCATTTTATCCTACAAATGTTTATGACATTCTCCATAAATATTAATCACAGATGAAAGTTTCATACAGGACTTAAGATTGAAATCACATTTTATATACAAGATTTTATAATGGAGGCTTATGTATAATGCTCTTAGTAGTGTATTTTGAAGCTCTTTTGAAGTGTATTTAATAGGAATTTTAAAACTTACTAACTGTCAAAATAATTGCCCTACAAGCCCCCCCAGTTCCAAATCTTTAAGCCACTTTTGTTCCCTTTCTCCAACTGCTTCTCTATTTTTTATCTTATGTATCCAGCTCTTTCTTCCTCCTCATTCCTTAGTTTTATCTCTAAAAACCATAGCTGATCCACAGTATCTGCCTTATTCCCAGTTTTCTTTCTCTCTCGTCCAAACTTTCCTATGTTACCCAATATAGGAAAGAAACAGAAACTATCTTACTTTAGTCCTAAGACACTTAGGACAAGTGATGACAAGATAGAAACTCTTGTCCACAGTCCATTTGTTGTCATCTTCTGATCGAAACCAACAAACTTGCTTTCCATTCCTGAAACATGCACCTTTCTTGTCTGTCTCCAAAACCACACATATGACTTTTTCCTACCTGAGGTATCTTCAGTACTTTTGTGGGGCCATCTGACCTAGTGTTACACTCGACAGGCAACTTTGGGGACAATGGTTACCCTCACTGTGCCTTATTTTCCCCATCTGAAACATGTGATAATAATATTATCTACCACATAGAAATGTCATGAGGATTAAGTGAGGTTATAATCGCCACTATTCACTATTTTTAACTAAAAAATTCAGCAAGTTTATATGGATCAACCTAATACATTTGAAGTACTCATAATAGTGTCCGGTGTATAGTGATTGCTCAGTAAATGTTAGCTATTATTTTTTTTTTACTCTTGTTTACCATTTTATGTCCCTCCTGATTTACTCATGTCCTCTATAAAACTACCTAAAATAGCCCTATCTAATTTCCTTGAAGTGAACTGAAACAGATAATGACAGCCAATGTTGAGCCCATTTACATTAACGCTGAGAAAATATTCTGAAAATATTTAATGAAAAGTCCTCTTAGTATATTATTTTCATACGACTTTTTATTTGATTTTTTACAACTTTAGTACAAATACAAAGAAGGTTACCGTAAGCAACTGGGCCACCACGTGGGTTTCCGCAGCCTACAAGATGACCCCAAACTGGTATGGTCCATACATGCTGCCAAGATCCAGAGTGAAAGAGAATACAAGAAAGCTTATGAGAAGTCTAAAGGAATTCACAATACACCATTGGACATGATGTCAATTGTTCAGGCCAAGAAATGCCAGACTCTGGTCAGTGATCTTGATTATCGCAATTACCTTCACCAATGGACGTGCCTACCTGACCAGAACGATGTGATTCAGGCCAAGAAAGCCTATGAACTGCAGAGTGATGTGCGTATATTACCACCAGACTCTTGGGGAGATGTGTGTCTGTGTGTTTAGTCACAGGGTACTCCCTAGGGACATAATTTAAATAGTAAACTTAACAGAACCTAACACATTCTATACGTTTCATGGGAGGAGAGTTTTTCCAAACATTGTCTCTCTTATAGAGGATTTCTTCTTATCTGGCAAGGCCTTATTCATCAAGATGAAAATCTTCTCTTATTCTATGTAATTAGGTAGAAAATTTCAGTCCCACTTGTTCTGATCCATTTATTACAATTGCATAATGAGATATCTAAATATCAGAACCAGAAGTAACATAAGGAAATGTTGGATTACCAGTTTATATGACACATATAGGAAAATGTGTATATATATATATTTCTATTATATTGAGAAAGAGAGAGGTATATATAGATATAGGAATATATCTTTTTCTCATTGTATGTGCGTCTAAGGACCCTTTACTCCCAAATTCCTACAGATATTATTCCCAGTGGTACATAAAAGGCAGATTTCAAGTGGTAAGCCCAGAAGCTCAACCTGTTTAAAAACAAAATTGTGTCCCATTGTATCTGTCATTCCACAAGTACCTTTGTTAGCCCTGCTCCAATTCCTGTAGGATACCATGTACGTCTCCCAGAGATCTAAGCCCCAAATACAAACAGTTAATGTTGACCCTTGAGTTTCATGGGATTGGCCACCCAACCAATTTCAATAGAGGGAGCGTGTGGTTTGCTGATATTGTGCTCCAGGGGGCAAATTTGACCTTTCCACACTCTGTGGTCCTCTCCTTCATGTAGAACGTATACAAATCAGACCTGGAGTGGTTGAAGGGTATTGGATGGTTGCCAGAGGGTTCGGTGGAAGTGATGAGAGTGAAGAATGCCCAGAATCTCCTGAATGAACGGTTGTATCGCATAAGGCCAGAGGCCCTCAAATTCACCAGCATTGTTGATACCCCAGAAGTCATCCTGGCAAAGACCAATGCTCTACAGATCAGTGAGGTAAGCCGGGCTGATGATATGTTCAGACAAATGGAAGAAGCCTCAGTAAAAATTCTAATTGTGAACTTGAATCTGCTAATACCAGCATTAGAATCTTGAACGTGCATTTATCCAGATAGAATTTCATGCAGTCAGTCAATTAACAGTATCCAGATTTCATTTGCTTAGATAACTCTTTGGTCAATATAAGTGTGGTAGCATCTTCATGTTCCACACACTCTGATACATCCTTTGAACACATTTTGAGATCTTGCCTGTAATAGAGGTCCACAAGCTAATACCACGATCACAAAATTGCCACCTCCTTATTGCTGTTTAGTCATGAAATAAGTTGAAAAATCCAGGGCAGCCCCAACATCAGACATGATGATAGTTATTTGGGCCAAGAAAGCCAGGACTTGATTGTCAGTGTGGATTATCATAGTTATCTGCAATGTGGGCTTACCTGGCAGATAATTACATGTGAATCAATGGAAAAGGATCATTTTAATACCCTGTTTCTGACCCATTTTACGTCTATATTATATCATACACCAATGTATTCTTCTTGTTGAAGTCACCATTGGCATCTTCCAAATAGAACACTAATGAAAAGTAAATGTGATCTACATTTATATCTGAGAACATCCAAAGAGAGCCTTTAATTGTACCTATAATTTTATTCATGTCATTGACTTGTTTCCTAATCAACCCTCCTTTGTTTCTCATTTTTACCAGCCATTGTATCGCGATGCCTGGGACAAAGAGAAGGCTAACGTGCATGTGCCAGCCGACACTCCACTGATGCTTCAGTCCAAAACCAATGCCATACAGATCAGCAACGTAAGGAACTCCACATCTACTCACCTTACCCAATGTTCTCTGCCTAAGTCAACCTTTCACAGATATGCTCCAGAGAGAGTTTAGCAAAAGGCATTTCCCTACTGTTCCTTCTATTTCTAGTCTTTGAGCTAACGATAAGTGCTGTGTGTGTCTGTGTGTGTGTGTGTGTGTGCCCGCGAGTGTGTTTATGATATAAAGATGTGTGTCGTTATCTTTGTTGGGAGGAAAAATGCAGTGGTTTTGCAAAAAATACAACATAAAAGCATACATAGGTGTGTATAGTAATATTTAGTTCTCTTTTTAGTGGCTCATCATTGATTGTTTCCTTTTAAACGCCAAACAATATATCTTTTCTCTCATTTTCAATGATGTATGGTCTCCTAAATTTCCTTCTTTAAAAACATTAGGTACTGGGAGACCAAGTTTACTAAATGTCATCAAAAATTGACTGGAACTTAAGTCCAGTACGAAACCAGCCTATTTTATAAATCTTAAGGGGAGGTTAATTTTCAGTGTAACTGTTAACATGTATTCCTGAACCCATCAGTAACACTGACTCCGTAGCTCCCTCTTCAGATTGACTGTGGCATTGCAATCTCCATTTGCAGAAACAATATCAGCAAGCTTGGGAAGACGTCAAGATGACAGGCTATGACCTGCGAGCAGATGCCATCGGTTTCCAGCATGCCAAGGCTTCCAGGGATATCGCCAGTGATGTAAGAGCTCCTCCTTGCCCAGTGTAACAAACGCTAACTGAGAGACACACTGGGAGTTAATACTGTATTAATCTTTAACTTAGTTCCCCAGGAATTACATTTAAGTAGAATGGAGGTCATTGTTGTTAGTGTCTTGTTTTAACATCCCAAATTCGAGAACAACTTTTACGACAATTTGATGACCCTCGTGCATCTCTACTTGGTTCTGCTCTTCTTATGTTTAAGAACAGATTTTGTTTTTGATTTTAATCACAGAGTTTGATTTTCTTTTCAGTATCTTCTCAATATCAGTTAGTTACAAGCGCTTGTAGAGATTCAGTGGGTACAAAGAATTCTGTTGTATCTTGAAGTGTAGCATGCATAGGCGGTTCTGTGATAATTTTATGCAATACATGGACAAGCATTTTTAAAAATAGTTGTGTGTTTGTTTTAATGTGTGCTAGAAAAATACTGATTTTGTCCATTTAAATAGGACTATATATTTAAAATAAGTTTACACTTTAAAATAAATTTATTTAAACAAAGAAGCAAGTGGACTTAAAAAAAAAGAGTGAAGTAGAGATGCCACTTGTTTGTGACAAAACATATGAGGGTGGCAAACAATGAGTGAAGTTTGAGAAACACTGGACAATCCTATGTTAATGGATAACCTAGAAGCACAGTTCTAACCTGAGAGGTGCTCGCCATGTTTTCATGCGTATATACATAGAAGACAAACCAATGTATCATGAAGTACAAAACTTGTAGTATGGATTTACAGATAATTAGTGCCCAAAAAGAAGAGTAATCTAAGGGAGATGGAGTTATTTTGATCAGGCCGTCTAGAAAAAGTGAGTTTGGGAAAACAACTCTTCTTTCTTCTGTTCACATCTACCAGTACCTATACAAAACTACTTACGAGAAACAGAAAGGCCATTATATTGGATGTCGCACTGCCAAGGAAGACCCGAAACTGGTTTGGGCAGCAAATGTGATGAAGATGCAGAATGACAGGCTGTACAAAAAGGCCTACAATGACCACAAGGCCAAGATCTCCATCCCGGTGGACATGGTGTCCATCAGTGCTGCCAAAGAAGGTCAAGAGTTAGCAAGCAATGTGGACTATCGGCAGTACCTGCACCACTGGTCTTGCTTTCCCGACCAGAATGATGTGATCCAAGCCAGGAAAGCCTACGACCTGCAGAGTGATGTAAGTGTGTGCTAGTTGGGGAGCACCAACCAAGTCGTGAGCTAAGCCCCGGGAAGCAAGCCTTCCCCAGCTTTGCCTGGTCACTCTTTCCAGTGCTGGGGAAAGCACCACTCCCCCTACAGAAGCACTTCCCTTTAGAATTTCACCAAGTTTATTAATTGCCTACGTCACTGCTGGGCTTTTTCAGAAAGTTTTCATTTTCATTGTTAATGATGCT